ACATCCACCGAAAAGGAAGAAGATATTTTTCTACATGCAAATTAAAAAGAAAAGCTAAAACAGAACAATCTCCTTGACTCAGATTTCAGTGGCATAAGATAAATATAAAGGGATATTTCAAAGTGCAGGAGGTCTTATTTTTTAATCTCCCAGCTATTCTTAGTCAGGGATGATGCTGCCAAAGAGACAGAAGTGGAATACAGTCATTTTGCAAATTAGAGGGCAAATCATACCCTTGCACCAAATCCTCTATTCCCTTGTGATTCGGACAAACTTTGTTTGTCTAAAATCTGTACTTGGCTATTGTAAGAGTAACAATTAGTGTCCCATTGCAAACATTTTATTTCTCTCTCCTTCAATCTTCCTTGTTCTTACCCACAACTTGACCTTAGATTAACAGATTTACACAGTTGGAAGGGACTTTATAGGTCATCTAGTCCAACCCCCCGCCTAAGCATTTTCTGACAAATGGCAGTCCAATCTTTTCAAGAAAGTCTCAAGTGATGAAGCTCCCACAACTTCCAAAGGCAATTTCTGTTCCATGGGTTGATTGTTCTCACTGTCAGAAAGTTCCTCTTTATTTCTAGGTTGAATCTTTCCTTAGTCAATTTCCATCCATTATGCCTTGTCTGGCCTTCAAGTGCTTTGGAAAATAGCTTGACCCCCTTTTATCTGTGGCAGCCACTCAAATATCATGTCTCCCCTGGTCCTTCTCTTCACTAGACTAGTTCCTGTACCCGTTCTTCATATGTTTTAGTCTCCAGTCCCCTCATCATCCTGGTTGCTCTCCTCTGCACTTTTTCTTGAGTCTCAACATCTTTTTTATAGTGTGGTGACCAAAACTGGATGCAGTACTCTAGGTGTGGTCTTACTAAGGCTTTATAGAGTGGTATTAGTACCTTTCTTGATCTTGATTGTATCCCTCTGTTAATGAAATTTAGGATTGCATTGGCTTTTTTGGCTGCCACTGCACACTGCTGGCTCATATTTAGTTGGTTGTCCACTAAGACTCCAAGGTCCCTCTCACAGTCACTGTTATTAAGCCTGGTTTCACCGAATTTATATAGAAAAGTTTCAGAAACTTTGGCTTTTGAGAATTATTTACATCAGGTTGATCTCCACTAGGACTGACCGATTTGATCGCCTTGCAGTCCAAGGGACTCGCAGGAGTCTTCTCCAGCACCATAGTTCAAAGGCCTCAATTCTTTGGTGCTCAGCCTTCCTTATGGTCCAACTTTCACAGCCATACATTGCAACTGAGAAAACCATAGCCTTGACTACATATGCACTTTTGTTGGCAGGGTGATGTCTCTGCTTTTTTTACCCTACTCTTATTTTAAATTGTTTGTATAGGATTTTATTGGTAATTTATTGGTTTGAACCTTGTACTTTGATATGGCCTATAGACTAATCAATAAAGCTAATCTAATCTAATCTAGTCTAATCCATAACCAGGCCTCAATCCTGACTAGATGAGGCCAAGATAATACATTTCATCCAGGACTCTCTGAAGTTGCAAGCAACAACCATCTAAAAAGGTTAAATCATGGCAACTGGACCAAAGTTTGTTAATCTCAGGTGTTTTGTTACTCACCCAAATAACTTCATCAGCTGCTCTGTCTAACTAAAAAATTAGTTAGGCAGTCATTGGAATTTACCAACTCTTGCCACACCAACTGCAGGGGTTTCTCCCTGAAATGTATTGTAATATTGTCAGTGAAGAGTCAATCATCCTTTTAGATACTTTTAGCCTGGATAATTGAGTCTTTATTGACATATTGCAATCCATTTTGGGGAGAAACCTCTGCAAATGGTGTGTCAAGAATTGGTATATTCCAGCAACTCTCTGACTCTCTTCTTCTTCTTCTTCTTCTTCTTCTTCTTCTTCTTCTTCTTCTTCTTCTTCTTCTTCTTCTTCTTCTTCTTCTTCTTCTCCTTCTTCCTCTTCCTCTTCCTCTTCCTCTTCCTCTTCCCCTTCTCCTTCTCCTTTCTCCTCCTCCTCCTCCTCCTCCTCCTCCTCCTCCTCCTCCTCCTCCTCCTCATCATCATCATCATCATCATTATTATTATTATTATTACTATTATTGCTGATGAAATTACTTGGATGACTAATGAAATGCCTCAGATTATGTTGGAATACAGTTTCCTTGTATTCTGTGCAACAACTATGCAGTATTCAACCAGTAGATGGCAGTGTTTATAAATTGTCATCTATGGTATATACTCTATGGTCTTTTTCTTCTGAGGAGAATTTCCTGTTACAGTTAGAAACTGTTAAGTAGCAAGGCCCAGGGAGACTGTACACTTTATTTTGATCTGTAAGGGCTATATAAAAAGAATTTTTATCAGGTTATAGGCCCAGCCATAGCCAAACATACAGCAAATAAGCACAAGATGCTGCAACAGAAAGAAGACAGCAACAGAATAAAAGAAAATGACCAGTAACAGAGCTAAAACAAAGATTTCATTTGCAAATGTAACAAACCAGAATGACCAGCCTTGCAAATTCAAGATGAAAATGCTGCTAATAAGGGAAGAATAGGGAGCTGCTAATAAGGGAGGAAAATGCTGCTAATTAGGATACATGGAAATACATAAGTAAAATGAGGCCAGAATACAGTGGTGGGATTCAGCCAGTTCGGGCAAACCAGTAGTTAAATTGCTGGCCCCACCACTCCCCACCCCGCCCCTTCCAGGAGTCCCCATGCGCCCCATTTTGGCTCTCAGGTAAGTGCATGGAGTCATTTTAGGCCCAAAACAAGGCAGGGGGAGTGCGCTCATCCCCCGTTTTCACTCTCAGGAAACTTCAGGGAGGTTTACTAGGCCCAAAACAGAGTATCATACTCATCATACTTGTATGGCTTATACCTCGGCAGATTTGCTTGCGCTGCGAGATGCCCCCCTCTCGCGGCGATGGCCTTCCACTCTCTCGAAGGCCTACCTTAAGGACGGGCTTTGGAGCCCCGAGAGGTGGCATGTTTTAAAGCGGGGATTGAGGGGTTTTTTAATTAGGGTTTTTAATAATCTTTTAAGGGGAACTGGGAGGGCGACCAAAGGGGATGGGGGGGGTAATCCACCTAGGTCAGGGCCCAGCCCAGCACAGGGTAACGGTTTGGAGGGCGCAGGATGAGGGATTGGGGATGTCATCAGCACGGTGGATGGGAGGGGCAGATATGGCGGGAGCAGAGGACCTTATCTTGTGCCGGGGGTGCGCACTCGCTACTTGAGAGCGATTGCACGCCCCGGTCCTCAAGGCTCCCCTCGGATACTAGGTGGCTCAGATACTCAGGACCTGGGCCTCCGGCTGATGCTGTGCAACGCCAGGTCCGTGGTAAATAAGGCCCCCCTCATTTACGATCTTATTCAAGAGGGGGGAGTGGACCTGGCGGGTATTACGGAGACCTGGTTGGGCCCGGAGGGAGGGGTCCCTCTGGTTGAGATGTGCCCACCAGGCTTCAGAGCATTCCATCAGCCGAGGGCCCAGGGGAGGGGCAGGGGGGTGGCGGTTATTATTAACGAAGATCTGGGTCCGAGGGAGACCACTGTGCCACAGATTGCCGGATGTGAGTCCCTCTTTGTGAGATGGGGTCATGGGGTTCAGATGGGCTTGCTGCTTACGTACCTGGCTCCCTGCCGTGTGGCAACGGCCCTGCCCGAGCTACTCGACATGATAGCCACGGTGGCAGTTGATACACCCAGGCTTATGGTCATGGGTGATTTCAATCTGCCGTCCGTTGGTGAAACGTCGGAGATGGCTCGGGAGTTCATGGCTTCCATGACGGCCATGGACCTGACCCAGTTAGTTCATGGCCCCACTCACAGGGGGACACACGCTGGACCTGATTTTTGTCTCTGGCCAGTGGTTGAGTGGTCTTGTTATAGGGATATAGACATGAAACCCTTGTCATGGTCAGATCACTCACTCCTTCGTCTGGACCTTCGAACCGCTACACCCTGCCGCAGGGAGGCGGACCCAATTAGATGGATCCGCCCCAGGCGCCTGATGGATCCCGATAGGTTCCAGACGGAGCTTGGGCCAATTCCTGAAGATCTGGCACACGACTCGGCCGAGGACCTGGTAGCTGCCTGGGATCGGGCGGCTGGTGGGGCCTTGGATCGAGTCGTGCCTTTGCGGCCTCTGACCCGGTGTCGATCCCTCGCGGCTCCTTGGTTCACCGAGGAGCTGAGGGAGATGAAACGCCAGAAAAGACGCCTAGAGAGCGGTTGGAGGGCCAGTCTCACTGAATCTGACCGAACACTGGTAAGGTCGCATATTAAGACCTACCTAGTGGCGATAAAGACGGCAAAGTTTAACTACTTTTCCGCCTCTATTGCGTCATCAGGGAATCGTCCGGCCGCCCTGTTCAGGGTAACCCGCTCCCTGCTCCATCCGGGAGCGCGGGAGGATCCCTTGGAAGGCAGGGCGGAGGATTTCGGACAATACCTGTATGACAAAATCGCTCAGATCCGGGGGGATTTGGACTCTGACTGGGTAGATCAGGGCAGGGTGACGAGGAATAGTCTTGAGAATGTTACCTGGGAGGAGTTTGATGCTGTGACTCTGGATGATGTGGACAGGATTTTGGGGAGACTTAGTGCGGCCACATGTTTACTGGACCCGTGTCCCTCCTGGTTGGTACTGGCCTCCCGGGAGGTTACACGAGGCTGGCTCCAGGGTGTGATCAACGCTTCGTTGAGTGAGGGTCACTTCCCCACCACCTTGAAAGAAGCGGTGGTGAGGCCTCTCCTCAAGAAGCCGTCCCTGGATCCGGCAATATTGGCCAACTATCGTCCTGTCTCCAACCTTCGCTTCCTGGCGAAGGTTGTTGAGAGTGTGGTCGCGTGACAGTTTCCACAATTCTTGGAGGAAACATCCTATCTAGATCCGTTCCAGTCGGGTTTCAGGCCTGGACACAGCACAGAAACAGCATTGGTCGCGTTGGTTGATGATCTCTGGAGGGCTCGGGACAGGGGTTGTTCCTCTTGTCGAGCCTACCAACCTGCTCGACATCGCTAACGCGTGCTGAAAGCATCAAGGGACATATACATACTTGGTGGTGGTGGCACTGGGTGAAGGTGGCCGTATGCGGGGTGTGGGGTGGTGGTATCGGGTGTGACGGGATTAGGGCCATTCCGGAGGACACAGCGGCAGCACCTTCCAGAACACGCTGAAGACCAATTACGCCCCTAGAAGAGGGGCGTGGTAACAAACAAGGGCGCGGTCCTAATGGGTTAATGGGAAGATGGGCTATATAAACGCCCCATTCTTGGTGTAATGTAGCGCCGATTTCAATCGTGTTTACGAATCACAGTGTGTAGCCGGATGCGGATGCGAATAAACCAGCATGCCAAAAGAGCTGAATAAGGCTGTAGCTGTGTTTTGATTGCGTCTCGCACGGCATTCCTGAGAGGAAATCGGCGCTACCCTTTGCATGCCTACGGAATGGCAGAGGGAGTGGATACGACTGTTGCAACGCCGCCCTTGGAGGAGGAGGGGCTGCCTGCAGCTGAGGAAAGTCCGGCTGAAGCTCAGCCCTCGGTAAGTCCAAAAGAACGCTGTCAAAGCCAGGAAGCGGATGGTAAGGATGCTGTTGCAGCAAGGGGGGGGGCCACCCCGGCATTGCTAGGAGAGTGGTGGCAGAGCCCCGCTTTGGCTGCTCCGGCAAGGGCCCTGAAGGACCAGGTGTAGCCCCCTTACAGCGAACGATTGGTCTTCACTGCTACCATTTGCGGAGGTCGCCTATAACAATGCAGTTCATAGCAGTACGGGTCTCACTCCTTTTCGGGTGGCAATGGGACGAGACTTCGTAGCGATACCCGAGTTAGATCAACCACCAACAACGTCGCCAATGCCCCATGAGTGGGCCGATAAGATGAATACGGTATGGCCCCAGGTCAGAGAGGCATTAGATAAAGCAGCCCTTGCATATAAAAGCCAGGCGAATAAGAAACGAGCACCGTTTCAACCATTCAAGGTAGGGGACATGGTATTTCTCTCTACCAAATACATCAAATTAAGGCTTCCTAGTAGGAAACTGGGACCGAAATATCTGGGCCCGTTTCCGGTGATACGAGTAGTAAATCCTGTGACTGTAGTACTAAAGTTACCTCCGTTATTGGGGAAGATCCACCCCGTATTTCATAGTAGTCTTCTCAAACCTGCCAAACATATCCAAGTATTCGACCGTCCTGGTCCGGTCACGGAGGGCCATTACAAAATTGATGAAGTCCTAGATTCTAGATGGACAAGGGGGGTCCTCTCTTACCTTGTTAAATGGAAGGGTTATCCAGTAGAAGAGGCTTCTTGGATACCGCATAGTAATGTAAAAGCAAACCGATTGATTCAACGGTTTCATAGAATGTATCCTCACAAACCACGGTTATCTACTAATACGTGTAACTTATCTCTTACAGAAGGACATGTGGTGAAAGGGGAGCTGCCTGTCGAGCCTAGCAACCTGCTCGACATCGCTAACGCGTGCTGAAAGCATCAAGGGACATATACATACTTGGTGGTGGTGGCACTGGGTGAAGGCGGCCGTATGCGGGGTGTGGGGTGGTGGTATCGGGTGCGACGGGATTAGGGCCATTCCGGAGGACACAGCGGCAGCACCTTCCAGAACATGCTGAAGACCAATTACGCCCCTAGAAGAGGGGCGTGGTAATAAACAAGGACGCGATCTGCACCCCTAAAAGAGGGGCGTGGTAACAAACAAGGGCGCGGTCCTAATGGGTTAATGGAAAGATGGGCTATATAAATGCCCCATTCTTGGTGTAATGTAGCGCCAATTTCAATCGTGTTTACGAATCACAGTGTGTAGCCGGATGCGGATGCGAATAAACCAGCATGCCAAAAGAGCTGAATAAGGCTGTAGCTGTGTTTTGATTGCATCTCGCACGGCATTCCTGAGACCTCTGTTCTGGTCCTGTTAGACCTCTCAGCGGCTTTTGATACCATCGACCATGGTATCATGCTGCACCGGTTGGAAGAGTTGGGGATGGGGGGCACCGTATTACGGTGGTTCTCCTCCTTTCTCTCCGACCAGTCGCAGTTCATGTTGGCAGGGGGGCAGAGGTCGACCTCGAGGCCTCTTATATGTGGAGTGCCTCAGGGGTCGGTCCTCTCGCCCCTCCTGTTCAACATTTATGTGAAGCCGCTGGGCGAGATCATCCGTGGCTTTGGGGTGAGATACCACCAGTACGCTGATGACACCCAGCTGTACATCTCCACCCCAGGCCACCCCAACGATGCCCTTGAAGTGATGTCCCAGTGCCTGGAGGCTGTGCGGATCTGGATGGGGAGGAACAGGCTCAGGCTCAACCCTTCCAAGACTGAGTGGCTGTGGCTCCCGGCATCCCGATATAGTCAGTTGACTCCATCACTGACTATTGGGGGTGAGTCGTTGGCCCCCACAGAGAGGGCTCGCAATCTGGGAGTCCTCCTGGATAGGCAGCTGTCCTTGGAGGAACATCTGACGGCTGTAACCAGGGGGACCTTTTGTCAGGTTCGCCTGATTCGCCAGTTGCGGCCCTTTCTTGATCGGGATTCCCTGTGCACAGTCACTCATGCCCTCGTCACCTCTCGCCTTGACTACTGCAACGCTCTCTACATGGGGCTCCCCTTGAGGAGCACCCGGAGGCTCCAACTGGTCCAGAACGCAGCAGCGTGGGTAGTGATGGGAGCAGCCTGGCGCTCCCATGTAACACCGCTCCTGCGCGAGCTGCACTGGCTCCCAGTGGTCTTCCGGGTGCGCTTCAAGGTGTTGGTTATCACCTTTAAAGCGCTCCATGGCATAGGGCCTAGCTATCTTCGAGACCGCCTGCTGCCACCGACGATCTCCCATCGACCCATGCGCTCCCACAGAGAGGGCCTCCTCGGGGTGCCATCAGCCAAACAGTGCAGGCTGGTGACCCCCAGGGGGAGGGCCTTCTCTGTGGGGGCACCTACCCTCTGGAATCAATTGCCTCCAGAGATAAGGAGAATCCAAGACCTCAGTGCCTTCCGCCGTGCCCTTAAAACCTTCCTTTTCCAGCAAGCCAGGCTGGCCTAATTTTTTAAGTGTTTTTAAGTGTTTTGTTTATTGTTTTTAATTAATGGGGCCAAATTTATATATATATATTTAACTGTATTTTAATATTTGTATTTGATGTTTTTACTTGGCTGTTCACCACCCTGAGTCCTCAGGGAGAAGGGCGGTATACAAATTCAAAATAAAATAAAAATAAATAAAATAAAATAAATAAAGTATGGGGGGCAGCACCCCCCCTCGCAGCCCATTTTCACTTTCAGGGGGGTGCAGGAGGATGAGTCCTACCTCTCACACCCCCTGGCCACACCCACCCAGCTGATCATTAGGGCAGAGAACCAGTTGTTAAATTATTTGAATCCCACCACTGCCAGAACTCCTTTCAGATGGGTGGATAGATAAAAAAGATAAAAAAGCTCAGAGCACAATCTCTCCTAGTTTAGGAGAGGATCAAATCAGACATATCTGTGAGCATGAAACGGCTAAAGAAATTTGGGAAGGATTACAAAAGGTGGATGAAAGCGCTAACCTAAGCAACAAACTGTATTCGATTAGAAAGCAATACCAAACCAAGCTGATGGGAGACCAGGATGTGCAGGATTACATCGGACACACCATGGAAATGGTTGCACACCTGAGAAGATAGAAAAGGTAACAGCATTCTGTGTGCCTTTGGCATTTAGTCATGCTGGGGACATGACCACGGAGATGTCTTCAGACAGTCCTGGCTCTTCGGCTTTGAAACGGAGATGAGCACCGCCCCCTGGAGTCAGGAACGACTAGCACATATGTGCGAGGGAAACCTTTACCTTTAAAGAAATTATCACAAGGATTCTTTTTTTTTTTTTTTTTTTTTTTTTGGAATTTGATTTTATTATAACATATAGTAATACAATCGGTACATTTTCGGTTCATTGGTGCAGTTATATACATATATACATCTGCATACATTATTGCTTGTCTTTTGTTGATATTGTTTCTTGGAGCTAGATTTAATTTCAAACATTTAAAAATAATAGTGCTCAACTCCCTAAGACTAAATCTAATACTATTCATATAGATTTTGTTAATTAGTTAAAATTTAATCTCTATTACCTTCTTTATTTCTTTCCCCCATCCATTCGTACCACATGTCCCACACGCTATAAAATTCTGAATCTTCTCTGTCATTAATTTCTGAAGTCAATTTGTTCATTTCGGCGCACTCCAATATTTTTCCAATAACATGTTCTTGAGGTGGTATTTGTTTTTCTTTCCAATACTGGGCAAAGGAAATTCTAGCGGCTGTCAGAATATGTATAATTAAATACTTTTTCTTTTTTGCATATTCAGTTTTCAAAATTCCCAGGAGAAAAGCTTTTGGGTCAAAATCAAAATTTTCTTTTATTATTTCTCTAATCCATACCCATATCATCCTCCAGAATTTTTGTGCCTGATTACATGTCCACCAGCAATGATAAAAAGTACCCTGCTGATGGTCACATTTCCAACATTTAGGGCTCGAATTGGGGTAGATCTTCGCTATCCTGGCTGGGGCCATATGCCATCTATAAAACAGCTTGTATTGGTTTTCCTTATAAGCCGTCGCCTTTGTCATTTTAAGGTTGTTATTCCATATTGAATCCCATTCGTTCAAATTTATATTCTGTCCTATATTTTTGGCCCATGCTAACATCGGTTCTTTAACTACTTCCTCTGCCATATCATACTCCAATAAATAATTATATAATTTAGCTAAAATTTTGTCGTCCGTACCCATCCATATCTTATCAAATCCATTTATGCTCATTTCAATGCCGAATTCCTCCTTATCTTTTTTATATCTGGATTTAATTTGGTTATATGGCCACCAGTCTATAGAAATACCTTGTTCCATCAATTCTTCCCTTGTTTTAAGGTTCCCTCCCCCATCTAATAATTCATTGTATCTGAACGTTTTACCCATTTCTAATACATTTGGATATATTATAGCCTCCATGGTGGAAAGCCATCTCGGAATTTTCCTATAGTGCTTCTGTCTCATCTCTCCCCATATTTGTATCAAGATCTCCCTTATTTTATGTCTATGGAAGTAAGTTTTTATCTTCTTCCCAGTATCCCAGAGATATGCATGCCACCCCTTCTGGAGATCATACCCTTCTAGAGTTAACAGTCTTTTATTTCTTAGGGTTGCCCATTCTTTCAGCCATACTAGGTTTGCAGCTTTTTGATATAACTCCCATTTAGGTAATCCGAAACCCCCTCTTTCCTTCTTGTCCTGTAAATTCCTAATCGCTATCCTTGGTTTCTTTCCCTCCCAAATAAATTTCCTGATGATGCTATTGAGCTCCAGAAAGAATTTTTTATCTAATTTAACAGGGACCGTTCGGAATAGATACAATAACTTGGGTAATATGCTCATTTTTATTGCCGCGATTCTGCCTAATAATGATATCTGTAGTCTTCCCCACTTTTCCAGATCCTGTTTAATATTTCTAATCAATGGTAAATAATTATCCTCTCTGAGGGCCGAGCACCTTGATGAAATCCAGACCCCCAGGTATTTTACCTTCTTGGCGATTTGGATCTCCATTGTTTCTTCCAGTACTTTTTTCCTTGCCTCCGTCATATTTTTTGTTAATAATTTAGTTTTGGATTTATTTAATTTAAGGCCTGCTACCTCCCCGTAATTGCCCAATTCTTCCAGAATTTTAGTGCCTGATTCTAATGGTTCTTCCATGATTAATACCACATCATCTGCAAATGCCTGTGTCTTATATATCTCTTTTCTGATTGTCAGACCCTTTATTTCATTATCACAAGGATTCTTTTGGAATAAACATGAAGAGTAAATACCAAAATTATATGCCAGCCAAACTACTGGAGAAGTTAATGGAATAACAGAACATTTATTTCAATATCAACCAAAGCAGCAATGGAGTGTAGTCCTTTCAATGAAGTTCAAGGTAGGGGCATCCCAATCAGAGAAGATAAAGAGTTTTTACTGAGCAAACAATGTCCTGCAACTTTCTTACAATGCAACACATATGCAAAACACATAAAAAAGGAGGAAGTTTCAATTATATGTTTCTGGCTGTCTTCTTCAATATTTGGAGTCTCCCCCATGGTTCCTCATGATCACCAGGGAAATGCCAAAGAATATGAAGTAGGATTTCACGATTATTCTTCAGCTCAGATAAAGCTTAAGGATTTATCATATATAATACATACATAAAGAACAGAAAAAGGATAGTAATAATATTGAATAGCATGGTTACAGTTGCCGTCCTGAATATTTGGACTTTCCACATGGATGCTTTTCATCACCAGGTAAAGACTGAATAATATAACATTAAATTGAACTATTAATCTATTCTTCTAGTCAGGTGTTGTTTTGTGTTCAGATGTGGGTTCAAGAGAATGATGTAGCATTTGGGCAGGAAGATGCAACCCAGGAGACCTGCAGTAGAGCCCAAGATGGAGAAGATCTCCACAGCCACCATGTATTTTCCCTTGGTGCTCAGATAGGCTGGGATGAAGGACACCCAGATGCTACAGAACACAAGCATGCTGAAGGTGATCAGCTTGGCTTCATTAAAAGTATCAGGCAGTTTTCTGGCAAAGAAAGCCACAGTGAAACTGATGGTGGCCAGGAGCCCCAAGTAGCCCAGGACAATGTAAAACATAGCATCTGAGCCTTCATTACATTGAACAATGATCTCTTGAACCTGTGAATGCATGTCCCACTCAGGGAAGGGAGGAGACATGATCAACCATATCATGCAGATAATAGCTTGAATACATGAGCAGAAGACAATGATGGATCCTGCCAGTCTGTTTCCTAGCCATTTCCTCATCTGGTTTCCTGGCTTAGTGGCCAGGAAGGCCAAAACAACCGTGATGGTTTTGGCCAAGACACAAGAAACCGAGAGAGAGAAAATGGTGCCAAACATAATTTGCCTGAGAAAGCAAGTCACCTTCCCAGGCTGACCTATGAAGAGCAGAGAGCACAGAAAACAAAGCAGGAGAGAGGAAAGAAGGATGCATGTGATGTTCCTGTTATTGGCTTTGACAATGGGGGTGTCCCAGTGCAGAATGAAAGTCACGGCCACCAAAATGAGGGTTGATGAAGAGAAAAGGCTCAAGGATGTCAGAACGATTCCCAAGGATTCACTATAGGATAAATAGCTGAAACGTTTGGGAAGGCACTGGATCTTTTCTTCATTCGAATACTGATCCACTGGGCATCTCTCACATTGGTTTGCATCTGAAATACATGAAGAAGAACTAGTCATTTCCAACTATGTAGGACAATATATAGAACTAACTGAGAGAAATCATTCCTGATGACACGATTCACAATCCTCTTGACATGTACACCGTAATGCTTTCTTAAAAACTGATAATTACATGTTCTGGACTATTATTTATGCAAATTATTCCTTTGAATATTAAGATGATTGCCTGGAACCAATCTCGCAGCCGGTTCGGGACTCAGCTTTTTGCAGGATACTTTCAACCTGAGGTACTTGGTTGAACTACCGCCTCCCAGAGCCTTTTGTAGGCGGGGTCCATGTCCTCTCAGTCTGGATTCCCCCCCCCCCCCGGCCTCTCAACCATCATCCAGCTTCGGCAAACAATCCCTCTGCAGCAATCAAGCAATCTGTCAGCTCCCAGCAACCAGTCTTCCGGTCCAGCCCAGCAATCAGACTCCGCCCTGTGGGCTGCTGCTGCTCTGTTCCAGCCAGTGCTGGCTAGCTGGGGTTTGGTAGTTCCATCGATCAGCTGGCCTGGGCAACCGGAAATGTCACCATTATGTCCCACCTTCACCTGGTAGTTGGTGGAACCATCCCTGCCAAAGAACGGGTCAACGCCCAGACCTTGGGCCCTGGCATGCTGCCGCTCAAGTGTTCCCAGCAGCTGTTGCTTGCTCCCACTGCCACCACTGCTGCTTCCAAATCCCCCTAGTGCCCACTCCAGGTATGGCAAACCCTGGACAGGGTTTGATACAAAGGATATCAGAATAAAATGAATTTATTCAAAATTTAAATTAGAACCATCTTTTTTAAAAATCTACTGCTCTTTACCCCAATCGTATTCTACCAAATAACATACCAAAGATGGAAAGAATGAAGAAAAGTTGAGTTTGGCAACTCTGAATTGTCTCTTTACTTACCCATTTCAACTGAAATTCTTCCTTCGGGACATTGCATACAATTATAACAACAAATATGTTTCCCCTCCACAACAACCCTGCTGTACCCCTGATGGCAGCTCTCTACACATCTGGAATGGGGAGGCACCTGAAAAAAAAACATCACAAAGGTTTAGGAGTGGGTTTTATCAAACGTTGTGGAAGTTCTCCATTTTATTAGGATACATTAGTACATTCCAGGGATGCATAGTCTTCTGCTGTCAAAATATCCCAGATGCTTTAGGAGAGTGTCCATGTTTACAAAAAATCTTCCTATTTGTAGTTTTCTGCAAACACGTCCATTCTCATTTGTTTTTGTACAACAACAAAAATAGATAGCAAAGAGCATTAGAGTCTATTGCAGGAGATATCTAAAATGTTTCTATTTTGCTAGAAATCAGAGCAACCTAGAGAGCCTTGCAACCTGTGGTCTAGGCAGAAATGAAAGATTTCACCATGGATGGTGCAGTAGTTGGAGTGCAGTACTGCAGGCTGCTTTGCTGACTGCCAGCTGCCTGCAATTTGGCAGTTCAAATCTCACCAGGCTCAAGGTTGACACAGCCTTCCATCCTTCTGAGGTCGATAAAATGCAGAGGTATAATACAGCAGGTTCTGACAGATTCTGGAGAACCGGTAGTGGAAATTTTGAGCTGTTTGGAGAACCGGTAGCAGAAAATTTGAGTAGTTCAGAGAACCAGCAAATGCCACCTCTGGCTGGCCCTAGAGTGGGTGGGAATGGAGATTTTGCAGTATCCTTCCCCTGCCAAGCCCACAAAGCCACACCCACAGAACCGGTAGTAAAAAAATTGGATTTCACCACTGGTAAAATGAGGACCCAGATTGTTGGGGGCAATAAGGTGACTCTGTAAACAGCTTAGAGAGGGCTGCAAAGCACTGTGAAGTGGTATATAAGTCTGAGTACTATTGCTATTTCATTATGTATGAAATTTCAATTAGTTAGACAAATAACCGCCTCTTATTATTTATTTTATATATAAATGGTATTTATGATTCATTACAAGTTTAAACCAGTTGCTTCCTAATGTTTATGTTGTTCATTTCAAAAAATGGAGATACATTGTATTTTTTTATAAAACGGTAGCATGTTGATCAAACTAGATAAAACACAAGAATACAAGGACACATACATAATTATTTTTTTATTTTTATTTGGTCAGGGTATATCATTTATAAAAGACAAACAAAGAAAAGACATTAAAAATATTAACACATATATTGATAACAATAGTAATAATGTAACAGAATAAGTTTGTCTAAATTTCTCTTTATATTGGCTTATTTATAATTTTGTTAAATATATTGGCATATTTATAGTTATAAGTTATTTATTTATTTATTTATTTAATCATATTTATATGCCGCCCTTCTCCCGTAGGACTCAGGGTGGCTCACAAAGATAAAAACCACAGAATAATAGTTAATAAGTTAATTTAAGTTAATTAAAATAATCCAATTAAAACCCTTAGAGAACTAAAAACTCTCAGCAGATCAGACGATTTGTTGGAAGAGCCATGTCTTCAGGTCCCTGCAGAAGGAGCGGAGGTCAGGGGCTGTCCGGAGCCCGGTGGGTAACCCATTCCAGAGGGTCAGTGCGCCCACAGAGAATGCCCTCATTCTGGGCGCCATCAGCTGACATTGCCTGGCCGATGGCACCTGGAGTAGGGCAGCCCTATGTGAGCATACTGGATAGTGGGAGGCCGGCAGAAGATGCTCCTGCAAGTACCCCGGGCCCATGCCATGAAGGGCTTTATAGGTAAGTACCAGCACCTTTAAGCGGATCTGGAGGACCACTGGTAACCAGTGCAGCTTGCGCAGGAGAGATGTAACACGGGAGCAACGGGAAGCACCAGTAACAACCCGCACGGCCGCATTCTGGACCAGTTGGAGCCTCCGGGTGCACCCCAAGGGCAGCCCCTTGTAGAGGGCATTGCAGTAATCCAGGCGAGAGATAACAAGAGTATGGGTTACTGTACAAAGGGCATCCCTGTCTAGGAAAGGGCGCAACTGGTGCACCAGGCGAACCTGTGCAAAAGCCTCCCTTGTCACGGCCGTCAGGTGGTCCATCAAGGACAGCTGGGAGTCCAGGAGGACGCCAAGATTGCGAACCCTTTCAGAAGGAGTTAGCCACCACCCCCCATCCAAAGTGATGGGGGTACTAGGCCATGAGATGCCGGCATCCACAGCCACTCCGTCTTGGAGGGGTTGAGTTTGAGCCTGTTTCCACCCATCCAGACCTGCACCGCTTCCAGGCACTTCGACATCATGGAAAGGGCATCCCTGGGGTGGTCAGGGGTGGAGATGTAGAGCTGGGTACCATCAGCATACTGATGATACCTCACCCCAAAATTGTGAATGATCTCACCCAGCAGCTTCATATAGATGTTAAAGAGCAAGGGGGAGAGAACCGATCCCTGAGGCACCCCACAAGTGAGGGGCCTCGGGGAGGATCTCTGTCCCCCCTGCCCAGACAAACTACGTATGGCCCGAGAGGTAGGAGGAGAACCACCGTAAAACAGTGCTCCCCACCCCTAACCCCCCGAGTTGTCACAGTAGGATACCATGGTCGATGGTATCAAAAGCCACTGAGAGGTCAAGTAGAACCAGGATGGAGGAATAATTCCCATCCCAGGGTCACCAGAGATCATTCACCAGGGCAACCAATGCTGTTTCCGTGCTGTGTCCGCGCCTGAAACCCAATTGGTACGGGTCGAGATAATCCGTTTCCTCCAGGAATTGTGGAAGTTGGTATGCCACCACAGACTCAACAACCTTCGCTATAAAGCGAAGGTTGGAGACAGGATGAAAGTTGTTCAAAATGGCCGGATCCAGGGCAGGCTTCTTGAGAAGGGGTCGAATCATCACCTCCTTAAGGATGGCAGGGAAGACCCCATCCCTCAATGAAGCATTGACAATCACCTGGATCCAGTCTCCGGTCACCTCTCTGGTTGCCCTAACAAGCCAGGAGGGACACGGGTCCAACAAACATGTGGAGGCTCCCAATCTACCCACAATCCTGTCCACTTCATCTGTGGACACAGGGTCAAAGTCAACCCAGACTTCAAGACTTGCTCTCGTCTCCTCGCCCGGTCCTGCCCAGTCGGAGTCTAGGCCCACCCGGATCTGAATGATTTTATCTTGCAGAAATTGAACAAAGTCCTCAGCACTGCCCTTCAAGGGGTCCTCCCTTGCTCCCTGATTGAGAAGAGAGCAGGTCACTTGAAACAAGGCCGCTGGGCGATTTTCTGCAGACACAATGAGAGCAGCGAAATAATCACATTTTGCCACTTCCATCACCACAAGATAAGACCTAATATAGGTTCTTAACTGTGTTCAATCAGATTCGGAATGGGAAGATCTCCAACAGCCCTTTAGGCATCTCTTCCGACGCTTCATCTCCCTGAGCTCCACGGAAAACCATGGAGCTACACGGGATCCCTGTCGGAGGAGAGGCCACAAAGGGGCAATTCAATGCAAAGCCCCAGTGGCAGCCCATTCCCAGGCCTCCACCAGGCCCTCTGGCGAATCGTAGGATAGGTATGTGGGAAATGTCCCAAGCTCGGTCCAGAACCTCTCAGGGCCCATCAGGCACCTGGGGCGGAACCAACAAATTGGGTCCGCCTCCCAGTGGTGGGGGTTGGTGGATAGAAAGTCTAGTTTAAGGAGGGAATGGTCGGTCCATGGCAGGGGTAGGATAGTAAGATCCCCCCTACCCCGAGCATTTATCCACTGCCCAGAGATAAAAATCAGGTTGAGTGTGTGTCCACCATTGTGAGTTGGGCCCTGTACAATTTGAGTGAGGTCCATGGCCATCATGGATGCCATGAACTCCCAAACCAGCTCAGATGTCTCGCTGGCTGACGGGAGATTAAAATCTCCCACAACCATCAGGTTGGGGAGCTCAACCATCAGTTCGGCAATGACTTCGAGTAGTGTGGGCAGGGCTGAAGATATGCAGCTGGGAGACAGGTACGTAATCAACAAGCCCGACTGCAGTCCAGGGTTCTATTTCAACAATACAGATTCACATCCGCCTATCTGAGGGACAGTAACCT